TCTGCGGGAATGGCGTCCTTGGATCCGCGGCTCCGCTCTCGGCCCCTCCATCCCCATCCCGCTCCCCGCCGCCGCCGCCTTCACCCCCAAACTCCTCCATCCCTGCTTTTCTGGCGCCGGGCTATTTTTACCCGCGGATTTTCCATATGGAAAACCGCGTGTGCCAGCTGCCACCGCATCTGACACCTCGAGGAGCCGGTGCCACGTGGCGGGGTTTTAATGGAATATCATGGACGCTGCCAGTGTGTCCATGGAACTGTGCTCTGGGAACGGTCGTGCCACCAGCACCGTGCCCTCGGGTGTGCCCACATCGGGAATGCTGCCACCCCTGCCCCTCCCTGGCAGCCTGTGGCGCTGACCTGGGGTTTTGTTTGATGGATTTATGCCAGCTGATGTGTTTTCTTGGAGGGTTTTTGGGATCAAGTGGTAAGGACGGATATCACCGCGCTCGTTTGTCACGGTTACACCTGCGGCGAGCTGGGTGGGTTTCACGTGCAGCAAATCCAGAGGGGATAATTCCCAGGGGATTGGGAGCCAGCCAGATCCGGGTCCCGGATCCTGCTGCCCCATTTCCTGCTCTCCTGGGAGAACTTGGGCCCCGCAGCACAAGGGGTCCCCATCGGGAGGTGACGGACTGGTCGCCCTCGAGCCACTCATCCCAAGTCCCACCTGGCCCCGGTGTCCCCCCGGTGTCCCCACCTTGCCGATGACGTCGTTGCGGCTCAGCCTGTCCTTGTCCATGACGGTGATGACGATGGTGGTCTCACGCAGCCGCTCCGTGGGGATGTCGAAGGCGAAGGACTCGTTGAAGACGGGGTTCAGGCACCGCTTCATCACCACCGTCTTCTTCTTCTCCACCCGCTTGTCCTTGTACATCAGCCACACCTTCACGTAGGGATCTGGGCGGGAAAAGAGCCGCTCAGCACCGGCGTGGGAATCAGGGAATGCCAGCCGGAGCCGGGAGGGGGCTGGGAGGGGGCCAGGGCTGCACCTGACGTGCCCCCGATGTCCATGGCTTTGAGGTTCCGCGCCTTGATGATGTTCACCACGATGGAATTGGCCGAGGGGTTGTAGCACAGCGACAGCAGCAGCTCCCCGCGGCTTCCCTGTGGGATTCATGGGCACCCTGAGGGACTGCCACACCCCACGGAGCTCCACAGTGGGAGCGGGGTGACAGGACAGGACCCCCCCCCGGAGTTGGGGTTTTGGGGCTGCCCAGAAAATCAGGGCAGGAGGAAACAGGGACACCCCCGGTGGGACGTTTGCTGGTCTTGCTGGAGGTGGGAGGAGGAGAAAACTTTCATTTTGGATCTACCTGAAACAGCTTGTTTTGACCCAAAATGGGCCACTCGGAGCCTTAATAGAAAGCTTTGGGAAGAGAAACGTCTCATCAGGGAAAACAGCAGAAAACATCCCTGCTGGGGTAGGAAGTGGGGGGTGGTCCTGACGGGACACTGCGGGGACAGGGGGGGTGGGAGTGGGCCCAGGGCCTTACACTGCCATCGCTGCATGGCTTCAGGTCCTTCCAGAAGGTCTGCATCTGGGTGAGGTCCACCTTGTTGAGCGGGATGGACACCTCTCCGATGGGATCGTTGCGGCTGAAGCGGTCGTAGTCCAGCACCTGGAGATACAGCACCCGCTGCACCACCTTCTCGTAGGGGAACCCTGCACCAGAGACAGAGGGGAGGAGAAGCCAGAGGGAATGAGGAGCCGGAGGGATGAGGAGCAGGAGGGAGTGAGGAGCCGGCACCCCTTTGCCCTTCCCCTGATAACGGCCAGCCCACGGCACCACCGATGGCCACCACACCAGTGGCTTGAGCCGAGCTGAACCTCCAGGTCCCACCACGGCTCTGTTTCCGCCCTGGGCCAGTCCATCCACTCCCAGTCCATCCCAATTCTTACCTTCGAAGAGGAAGGTCTCGTTCCAGTGCGGGTTGAGGTTCTTCCTCTTCACCTTGGTCTCCAGCTTGTGCTTCTTGTCGGGGAGCAGGTAGATCTTGACAAAGGGGTCACTGGTGCCGCTGAAGTCCTTGGCCGGCAGCTCCTGCGCCTTCATGATCTTCACGGTCAGGGTGGACTCCTGGAAGTTGTAGCCGACGCTGAACTGGATGCGGCCCAGGTTCTCCCGGCTCACGCCTTCGTGGCCCTCGTCATCCTCGGAGCCCGGGGAGAGCTGGGGGGGAGGAGGGAGGTGAGAGCGATGCCGGGCGTTGCTGGGGACCCCCGTCCCCCCGGCCTTGCATCACCCCGACCCCTGACCCCCGGCCCCGTGAGCTGTCAGGGACCATCAGCCTCTCCCTGCTGCCCCTGCCGCTTCCCATGACTTCCCATGACTCCTGGCTCCGTGCCACTCGTCCCGGGGAAGCGGGAGCTCCAATTAACCAAATCCCTCCTGACAGCACAGCCCTCACGTGTCCGGCCCCGCTCGCTCCCTGGTGCCGGCCCTGGGGACGCACTGAGCCGGCGGGGACTCGGCGGAGAGGGGGGATGTGCCGGAACTCTTCTGGCACGGGCAGGATGCCGACCATGGAGACCCCATTCCCGGTGCATCCCGTCCACCCACCATGAGCATCTCGCTGGTCAGGGAGTTGACCAGGTCAGAGACGGAGGAGTGAGGCTCCGTCTTGCGGTCGGACTCGTCGTGGGGTGGCTGCCCCGGCACCGGTGCCGTGTTCACGGCCTTGCCGCCGGCCGGCAACCTGCAGAAAGAGAGGCGATTCCTTGGAGGAGAGGGGCCGGGAGAGCCGAGGACGAGACCGTGAGGGGCTGCCCGGGAGCCCTCTCCCAGCAGATGCTGCTCCGGGGCTGTGCCAGCACCCAGTGGACGCTGCCAGGACACCGGTGGCTGTGGCCCACCGGCTTCCCGGACCCGATCCCGGTGCCAGTGGGTGCCCTGGGACCTTTGGAGCACAGCAGCAGGTCCCACACCATCCGTGTCCCCAGGCCAGGGACGGCCCTGTCCCCACCGGCGGCTCCGGCT